ACCCAAAAAATATTTTTGACCTTGAAAAAAACTAAGTTTGGTGGTGGCCGGCGGCGCGCGTGGTGGTGGTGCTTCCACTTGGCAGCTCTCTGTGCGGGGAGGCTGGGGAGCGGCTTGGACAGGGGTGGCAGCGTCGACGGCGTGCCGGCTGCAGCGTGAAGGCGGGAACTTTAACGGGCCTTGGAGATCCCGGCTGGGCCTGTGCGGCCACGGGCCTGGTATGTTTCTGCTATTGCGTCCGATCAGCTACCGTCTTCGACGGTGGAGGTGGGGCCCTCCCGCGTGCCGACGGTGCAGCTGCCCCAGTCCCGGCTCCTCTCCTCCTTTGTGCAGACCATGTGCTTCACGGTGCCGTGGTGAGACGGCATGAGAAGCTTCGTGACCGGGTTGGCGCAGGGTGAGGGTCTGTTTGGTGGCGAGTCCTAGAGTGCCTGAGGTGGAGGTTGGGATCGGGAGAAATCCCTGTCGGCTTGGCCGACACTGACGCAGTGGTGCTTGTGGGTACCGCCCGACCTTCCTGATGGGCGTCGGGGCTACACTCCCTCTCTCCTCACAGCGTACCGGGGGAAACCCTTGGCAGCAGCGTCGTCACCGCCGGTCCCTTCTTGGAGGTGCTGATTGGTACCGGCACTTCGGAAGCTCGGAGCTTGGTGGGCGATCTCCGGTGGGTGCAGTGGCCATGAGGCTTCTTCATTTTTTGTTGATCCGTTGTTGTTGGCATTAGTTTCTCTTGTATTTTCTCTTTCTTTTCTTTTGGGCGTGAATGTGCTGCTTCCGCCCCAGCACCCATCGTTGGATGTATCGGTTGGTTGCTTTGTATACAAAGCGGGGGAAACCCTTTTTCGGCAAAAAGTCATAAGTTTTAAGCTTTACAAATAAGTATTCATGTTACTCTAGTTGATAGTAAAATGGAGTATGGTGTTCAATTGGATACTCTCTCCCGTTCCTAATCATCGCTCAAAGCATCCACTATCCATCATCGACCGCCGCCGAAAAAATACATCTGTCTTAGGACACATCGCCCCACATCATGAGCCCATGAACGCAACTCTATATATTGAAGTATCGCCTGCGAGTTCAGGCCGACAGTAAACTCTTTTCAAAATTATAATACTTATAAAATCTTATTATACTGAAAAATGTAACTCACACCAGTATAAAATAGAGCTTTGGTCACAGCCCAATATACACATTAGTCCCGGTTGCATCATGAGCTGGGACTAATGTGAGCATTAGTCCCAGTTCGAGCAGCTAATGTGTGGGGAAGGCATTAGTCCCGGTTCAAATGGGACCTTTAGTCCCGGTTTGAGACATAAACAGGGACTAAAGGGCATCGCACCCTTTAGTCCCGGTTCATGTCTCAAACCGGGACTAAATGTTCAAACTCTATACCCCCAGTGGATCGCCTTTTCAGTTTTGTAAAAAACAAAAGAAAATGATAAAAACATCAAAACTTAAAATCCTTCGAGATGTAGTTATGTTACTACACCTACTAGTTAGGAAAATTAAAAAACTTAAATTTGAACATGTTTTGCAAAAAAGTGTTATAAAAAAAGTAAATCGGTCATATCTTTTGCATACGATGTCGAAAAAAGCATAATATATCAAAAAAGTCAGCACAAAAATCCGCATCCGATTTTTACCGCCGTAGGCCTATTTGCAAATTTTGAGAATACTCAAATTCTGAAAGGAAAAAAAGATATGCTCAAATTTCAATTTTTTCGATTTTTTGGTTAAATCTGGTCAAACTACTTATTCAAGAAATATTAGTGTTAATAAATAATTATTTTTAGTTTTTTGACTTTTGGTCAAAGTGTGGTCAAACTATGGTCAAAGTGTGGTCAAATCTGGTCAAACTATGGTCAAACTACTTATTCAAGAAATATTAGTGTTAATAAATAATTATTGTTAGTTTTTTTACTTTTGGTCAAACTATGGTCAAATCTAGTCAAACTGTGGTCAAACTATTTTCAAATCTGGTCAAACTATTTTCAAATCTGGTCAAACTATGGTCAAACTACTTATTCAGGAAATATTAGTGTTAATAAATAATTATTGTTTTTTAGAATAATAGTTTCAAACTCAAACGGTGCTTAATGCTCAAGTTCAACTCCTAATGGTTAATAGGATTGACAACTTAGTGCAGACTTGAGGGGTGATTAAAGAACAACAAGTGCAGACTTGAAAACTAGGGGGAATAGAACTCAAAAATTAAGCGTGCTCAGGCTAGAGTAGTGAGAGGATGGATGACCGGCTAGAAAGTTCGACAATTTGGAATGAGTGGTTCATAATTGAGCAGTGATGAGGGGTGATTAAAGATTGAATTGTCAAATAAGAAAAAAAATTCAAAAAAAATTCAGAAAAACAAAATTTCAAAAAAATTCCTTTAGTCCCGGTTAGTGTTACCAACCGGTCCCGGTTAGTGTTACCAACCGGGACTAAAGGTGGAGCTCCAGAGAGCGGCCATGTGAAGGGCCTTTAGTCCCGGTTCGTAACACAACCGGGACTATACGCGGGGAGGGGGGGGGGCTTTAGTACCGACCCTTTAGTCCCGGTTTGTGAACCAGAACAAATGGGGCTTATGAACCGGGACAAATGAGCCTTTTTCTACTAGTGTCATCTTGTCACAAAAATCTTAATCAATATTTTCTATTACACATTTACACATAGCAAAAGTTTCAATATTTTTATTATACAATTTTGACGATGCTTACCATGGGAAATATATTTGCGCGGTAGTTAATCCATATTTTTTCGTAGTGAAGAGGTGTTAGCTTTTATTTATGGGGTCGCCCTTGAAACTGCATGTAGTTAAATCAAATTTCTCTAGATTAGAGTAGACATAAAAGGAACCAAATAGTTAACCTTTTGGATTAACTTGTGCTACTTATATGAATTCTCTCTCTCTCTCTCTCTCTCTCTCTCTCTACTTGATAAAACGGAAAATTGCAATGGCTAGATACTTGATAAAATTCAATAGGAAATCCATGAGGACATTCAACCACGTCCTTTCGCATATCATCAATAACATATATAATTTGCTACTCCTCAGAATATCTGTCTAGTTTGATTTTATACTCCTTTCTGAGTTCTCATTTATCTTGACAAACATCATCATTGAGTATGTATTGAAACCATGTGCATGATCAAACATATTCCCGAAGAAAAATGTAACCCACTCTTTTGTTTTTTTAGCTCACTGGCCATCCGTTGGCAGTTTCAGGCTTAATACCGATATTTTAGCAACAAATCTAATAAATCTAACTATAGTGGTTGGTGTTTGGAATTTTATTTTATTTTTGGAAAGGGAAGCAACATGCTTTAGTAAATTAGTTCTACCCTGGATCACTACATCCCCTTGTTGCAGACAAAAGATATATTTTTGGGGTTTGCCCCATTCTAATCAAGTTTGGGTTGCAAACCCACGAGATAAACTTGCGTTATTCTTTATATATTGTTTTGACCATGTAACTTATCATTTTCGTGCCACATCAAATTCATAAATTACATGTTTAAAAAACATTTTTAAGCTAATTGTTGGTAAAAATCAAGTCTTGAAATATGTTGAAAAAGTGGAAGACGTACGGCATACATAGTACCACATATGTGAAGATGGCACACACACGTACCCCTTGTCGAGAACCATATATGTTGATGAAAATCAAATGCCAGCTATATACGGTCATGGAATATGACTGGCTTTTCATGGCCAAGTTGTTTCGTTCTTTTCATTTTCCCGCTCTGACAGCCACTACCCCTTCATTAGAAGCGAAGATACGGCGCAAGTTGGCGTAGTGGTGCAACCCACGTCGTCCCACAACCACTGCTACGTACCCCTCGCACCCAACCACCTCCTCCTCATCTTCTTCTTCTAGCAGTCTCCATCGGGTCTCCCACCTCCCCTCCGTCTCATCGTGTACGCTACGTACGAGAAACCACCAGCCAATACCGCGTCCTCTCCTCTCCTCATCGCCGCCACCTCGAGGGGCGCGCGCGCGTGCGTGCTCCTTCCTGCTAAGTAGGTACGTAGGGGACCGGACGGATCGGAGTCGGACCATCAGGATGGACGTCGGCGGCGGCAGCAGCGGCGGCGGTGGCGAGGAGGAGGAGGTGGACCGGGCCGCCGGCGCCGGCAGCAGCCAGCCGCAGCGGATGAAGATCGGCTGGCCCACGGACGTGCGCCACGTCGCACACGTCACCTTCGACCGCTTCCACGGCTTCCGCGGCGTCCCCGCCGAGCTCCAGCCCGAGCCCGCCCTCGCCAAGGCCCCCAGCGCCAGGTACGCCACGCACGCGTCCTCCTCCCTCCTCTCGCCGTCTGTCCCAGTCCATCTTCCTCCTCGGCACTCAATCATCGATCGATGATCGTCTCCGTGTCCGGCGTGCGTGCGTGCGTGCAGCAAGACGGCGTTCGGCGTGTCGACGGAGTCGATGCAGTGCGCGCACGACGCGCGGGGGAACAGCGTGCCCACCATCCTGCTCCTCCTGCAGCGCCGCCTGTACGAGCAGGGCGGGCTCAGGACGGAGGGCATCTTCCGCGTGGCCGCCGACGGCGCGCAGGAGCAGCGCGTCAGGGACCAGCTCGACCTCGCCGCCTCCGTGCCGGACGACGCCGACGTGCACTGCCTCGCGGGGCTCATCAAGGCCTGGTTCAGGGAGCTGCCGGGGGGCCTCCTCGACGCGCTGCCGGAGGAGGAGGTGGCGCGCTGCGCCACGGAGGACGCGGCGGCTAGGCTGATCGGCAAGCTGCCGGCGGCCAAGGCGGCGCTGCTCGACTGGGCGGTGCAGCTCATGGCGGACGTGGCGAGCGAGGAGGCGCGGAACCGGATGGGCACCCGCAACATCGCCATGGTCTTCGCGCCCAACATGACGGAGGTAATTAGTACTAATGCAGAGGAGTACGAGCTTAATTTTGATCATCTCTTCGTTTGAGGATCTAATTTTGATCATTTTACTTTACGACCTTTTAGAACGATTTACATTTGAACGCCCAAGCAATATTCTTATTTCCCAATGGAATCTCACCAAAAAAATGTGGGAAAATTCAGTCATTTTACTTGGTATACTGTACACAGATATCTTGCATTCAAATGTGAGTCCATCGGGATTCAAATTTCTTCAAACTTGTATTCCATTTAAATTCAAGTGTAATCTCTACTGTAAAACAAGCATCTCATTTCCAATCAAAACCACCAAAAGATGTTGAACATTGCAGAAGTTTCATTATTTGTCAAAATATCTGGCACTTCGATCAAAACATTTGTCAGACTTCAAAACTTTTGTCAAGTTCAGGCATGCATACTGTACTTCAAAACTTTTGTCAAAAATTTCATATGCTGGATAGTTCGATTTTCAGCCAAATTCTAGTGAAGATATCCACCCTCTGACTGAATTTAAACCTGGAGTTTCCTCTGACTGATCGACGTCGATGTAACTTATTTGGTCCGGTTGCACGTGTTGCAGGAGGTGGATCCTCTGACGGCGCTCAAGTACGCGGTGCAGGTGATGAACTTCCTGAACCTGCTCATCGAGCGGGCGCTCCGACAAAGGCAGCAAGACCAGAAGAAGAAGCAGCCTAAATAGTTAATTGATTGCTTGATTGACGTACGCTTTGGTTAATTCGATTAGTCCCGTGGTTAGTTAATTTCGTTCACTTGGGTGTCCATCGACTAAGCTGACTTTGTATGTACCTCAGCCTAGCTAGGACCCAGCAAATCAGCTAGATGTGTGCGTGCGTCTGTTAATCATGTCTGATTTCTCCTTTGGATATATACGTGTGCTCTTTGAATGGTTAATTCGGATTTACTTTCTGTTGTGTATATGTCATCGCACCCGTTTGTCTTTGGATCCTATTGACCGTTCGATTTCGCTACCGAGGGCTGAGATCGAGCCATGTCGTCCACTAACCATTAAGGTTGTTCCACAGAAAGATATCCCATTCTCTCATAGAAATTTGAACCTGTATTTTCATTTTGTTGGTAAACCAAGCAATATACCCTTTTGGTGAAGTAATCGATCTTGTAGAAGTGAGACGATAAGATCAACAAATGTCAACCTGGCAAGGGTAATGTCGGATAAAAGTGTCGACGTGAGTTTGAAACACAAACTATAACCAAGGACGCACGAATATCTGACGAATCGGTAAGATAAGACGGTTGCCAAGGGAGAGCATCACAGACAATGAAGAAGATCTTCGCAAAAAAAAAAGACAATGAAGAAGATGGTTTAATAAAATGTGTGTGTGGGACAATGTGCAATGGAAAAAAATGGCACATTTCGTCTCCTATCCTCTCCTGGTGCATGTCGTATCTTACCTATCGTCACTTCTCCTTGCTCATCGTCATATGGCTTCCACTCCGCTCTGGGCCAACATCCACTAGGCCATGTCTTACAAGATCAAAGACTCTGCTAGACTCTTGTATGGGACGGGGACGGCCAACCACACTTACAACTATACAACACCAGTCGAAAGCCACCTGTCGTGGTACTATGTTTGACAGTAAAAATAGGGAGTACGTAAGGAGAGGCAAGGTCGTAGCTACGGCAAGGTTGTACGCAAGCGTTTACGAGTTCAGGCCCCTCTCGGAGGAGGTAAAAGCCCTACGTCTCGGTGCCCGGAGGCGGTCGACTAGATTATGAGTATGTGTGTGTGTTACAGGGGGTGCAAACCCTTGTCCCAGGGGAGGGGGGTGGCTTATATAGAGTTCGCCAGGACCCCAGCCATCTCCCGTTACAGAGGGTTGAATGTACATAAAGATTGAGAACGCCAGCCTTAAGTGTCTTTAATGACCTTAAAGACTACGGAGTGAATACTCGCTCGTTGCTGTTCTGAGTGACTTCTGGTCTTCAGTAGGTCGAGTGGTTTCTTGTATGGTCGAGTGGTTGACTGGTCTTGTGACTTCGGGAAGGAGGGGTATCCGAGTGGTTCGTTGGTCGAGTGGACTGCACTCAACACCTTTACTGTGTACCCTTTGTTGTCTCTTGAGCTTCTTTGCTTCTAGGGTAGTGACCTTAGGTAGGGCGTATAGATCAGGCATGTGACCCTACCTAGGTCTATATCCTCATCATTAGCCCCCGAATGGATTAAGGTCGGAGTGGAAAGAAGATTGAAGTTGATCTTGGTCTGACCCTTCCGTTTCACGAGTATTTACGCAGGACAGAAGACTCATGTTTAGAACTTCATCTTCGCTTTAGTCGCCTTGATCGATTCAAAAAGTTGCCGAGTGAATTTGCAACATCATCTGTCGAGTGTTGTTTCTGGGCGCAGAATCTTTGGCGCGATTGGTTGCGGTGTATCCCGGATCTCACGGGATTCGAAATTTCGGGGAAGCGCACGGGACGGAGTGTACCGAGGTAAGCGGGATGGATAGTCAGGAGCGCCTCGATCTCTGCGCCACTTTTTTCACCACGTACCCCACGCACGACTGTTGCGGGATTTGACGGGATCGCCTGGGCCCATGCGTCAGCCACTCGGAAGTGGGCCTTTATAAGGCGACGGAGCCGAGGCGCCTGCACTGCACGCGTCTATTTCCCCCCTTTTTTTCTCTGCTTCTCCACTGCATTCGGCTCCTCCGCTCTCGATGCCGCCGTTCCGCCACCATGATGAAGGACAAGACGGCGGCGCTAGAACGCGCAAAGAAGGCGACGGGGGCGGCGAAAGGCAAGAAGCAGAATCGCGGGTCGTCGTCGCGCTCGGCGCTGCCGCCGGGCTGGATCCAAGGCGATTGGATCCGGTCTTCGCTCCGGCAGGAAGATCTGGACGAGCTGGTGGAGTCTGGGCTGATCGGCAAGGGTGCTGCGAGGTTGCCGGAGGGGGAAACGGAGCCGCAGCCGCGACCGGGTGAGTGTGTTCTACTCGCCACCCATGTCGATCGGGGCTTCTCGCTTCCTCCGCACCCCTTTTTCCGGGGTTTCTTGAACTTCTTCGGCGCCCAACTCCACCACTTTTCTCCCAATACCATCACATATCTTGCTGCATTCGTGTCCATGTACGAGAATTTTCCGGGGTGTCGATCGCACTGGCGTCTTTTTAAGCATATTTTCACCATCCGTTCTCATTCGGTGAAGAAAGCAAACGCGAGTTACGAGAAAACACATGTCATTCAGATGTGTGGGGGGTTGGGTATCCAGAAGAGGCCTAGGAGCTCTTTCCCTTCCATGACTCTTCCTGAATCGGTCAGGGGCTGGCAGTCGACCTGGTTCTACTGCCAGGACCTCGCAACTCCAGTCCAGTCGACCGGACTTCCCCACTTCACCTTTGATCGTGTTCAGACTCCTTCCTCGCTAAAAGTGACTGCTGCTGAGAGCGTGGAGACGAACATGCTAGTTGAGACGATGGTCCAACTGATCAATCAGGGCGTCACTGGCATGGATCTGCTGGAGGTATTCCTCAGTCGATGCATCCAGCCTTTCCAGACTTGTAACCATCCTATGTGGATGTACTATGGGGCCGACGATATCGCTCGGGTTCATCCAGAGGAAGTACCAGCTAAGACGGTGGCCATGTGGTTGAAGAGCATTACAGGTAACAAGGACAACCCCAGAGGAGCCAGGAGAGTCGTCCCCTTCAGTAACGACAATCAGCCAGACAAGGTGTGTCTTCTATCGCCGACTGTTTTTGGGTACATATTCCGACTGCCCTTGAACCCGACTGACTTTTACTCGACTTCTTGTCTTGTAGCTTTTTACTGAGATGTACTCGATGCCCAATGGTAAACAAGTTCTGGAGCAAGGCCAGGAGGGAGGGGGTAGCGCAGAGGAGAGCGGTGATTGGGAATCTTCTGACGAAGAAGACGAAGAGGAAAGCGACGAGTCAGACAACGAAGAAGCGGTCGACTCGCCGCCTCGCTCGAAATGTCGATCCAAGCAACACCATGACCAAGCTGGCGGGTGCGGTAAGAACGTGGCCCCAAGCACCCAAACGCAGAAGCGCACTCGGACGTCGACTCCGGAGCCAACAGAAAAAGTCACCAAGCAGCCCAAGGTTGCTCCTCAAAAAGCTCGGAAGACTCTGCCCAGGATCAAGATGGATGTTCCTGTTGCCTCTGGGTGAGTATCCTTTCTGTGTTTATGTTGGGGAACGTAGCAGAAATTCAAAAAATTTCCTACGTAATCACCAAGATCTATCTATGGAGAGACCAGCAACGAGTAGAAAGAGAGTGCATCTACATACCCTTGTAGATCGCTAAGCGGAAGCGTTCAAGTGAACGGGGTTGATGGAGTCGTACTCGTCGTGATTCAGATCACCGATGATCAAGTGCCGAACGGACGGCACCTCCGCGTTCAACACACGTACAGCCCGGTGACGTCTCCCACGCCTTGATCCAGCAAGGGGAGAGGGAGAGGTTGAGGAAGACTTCATCCAACAGCAGCACAACGGCGTGGTGGTGATGGAGGAGCGTGGCAATCCTGCAGGGCTTCGCCAAGCTCCTACGGGAGAGGAGGAGGTGTCACGGGAGGGAGGGAGGCGCCAAGGGCTCAGGTGTGGATGCCCTCCCTCCCTTCCACTATATATAGGGGCAGAGGAGAAGGGGGAGGCGCAGCCTTGCCCCCCACTCCAAGAAAAGGGTGCGGCTAAGGAGGGGGGGAGGAGTCCATCCTCCCCAAGGCACCTCGGAGGTGCCTTCCCCCTTTAGGACTCTCCCCTTTTTCCTTTATCTTGGCGCATGGGCCTCTAGGGGCTGGTGCCCTTGGCCCATGTAGGCCAAGGCGCACCCCCTACAGCCCATGTGGCCCCCCGGGGCAGGTGGCCCCACCCGGTGGGCCCCCGGGACCCTTCCGGTGGTCCCGGTACAATACCGATGACCCCGAAACTTGTCCCGATGGCCGAAACAGGACTTCCTATATATAAATCTTTACCTCCGGACCATTCCGGAACTCCTCGTGACGTCCGGGATCTCATCCGGGACTCCTAACAACATTCGGTTACCACATACAAGCTTCCTTTATAACCCTAGCGTCATCGAACCTTAAGTGTGTAGACCCTACGGGTTCGGGAGACATGTAGACATGACCGAGACGTTCTCCGGTCAATAACCAACAGCGGGATCTGGATACCCATGTTGGCTCCCAGATGTTCCACGATGATCTCATCGGATGAACCACGATGTCAAGGACTCAATCGATCCCGTATTCAATTCCCTTTGTCTATCGGTATGTTACTTGCCCGAGATTCGATCGTCGGTATCCAATACCTTGTTCAATCTCGTTACCGGCAAGTCACTTTACTCGTTCCGTAACACATCATCCCGTGATCAACTCCTTGGTCACATTGCGCATATGATGATGTCCTACCGAGTGGGCCCAGAGATACCTCTCCGTTTACACGGAGTGAAAAATCCCAGTCTCGATCCGCATAAAACAATAGATACTTTCGGAGATACCTGTAGTGCACCTTTATAGTCACCCAGTTACGTTGTGACGTTTGATACACCCAAGGCACTCCTACGGTATCCAGGAGTTACACGATCTCATGGTCAAAGGAAGAGATACTTGACATTGGCAAAGCTCTAGCAAACGAACTACACGATCTTTGTGCTATGCTTAGGATTGGGTCTTGTCCATCACATCATTCTCCTAATGAT